GGACACTTGGAATACATTGGACGACCAGTATGGAGGAATATTGAAACGTTTTTTGTGGACTTTTATGGACCTTTCTGTCTCGGTCACCATAGACCTCCATTATTTGAATGTCAGCAGACAGCAAGAAGCCTCCCAGATCTCCAGATGCATTTGAGATATCAAAAAAGTACTCCAGAGTGTTGTTCAGCATGGGGGTGAGTAGAAAATGAAGGCTAATCATGTTTTGGGTGTACTATTCCTTTAACTCGGGTGCTATCCACTGACCCCTCCCCTTCCTCATTTTTGAGGAGGGAGGAAGAGTGGACTATCTCATCAAGTAGTCAGTGCGCATCATTTTGTACTTCTGCAGCTTTAGAGCCCCATGAGGAGTTAGAGGAGTTAGCGAGGTAAAAAACAAAAAACACATCTTATGTTGGGGGGGGGGGGGGAGCTCGAAATGGAACTGGTTTCAAAGTCGAGCGCAACAGCCGCGGTGTGGCAGTATTTCGGATTCAAACCAAATGAACGAGGTGAACCGCTGAACCTATGCGAGCCAGTATGTCGCATTTGTCATAAAACGGTACCAACTAACACCAGCAATACAACCAACCTACACATGCACCTAAAGCACAACCACCCAGCAAAGTTTCTCCAGCTGGGGACAAAAAGTACAAGCGGTTGCCCGCCTGCGTCTTCAAGTTTCCGACAGTCCACCATCACCATTAATCGACAGGCAGCAAACAAAAAGGATGGCGCAAAGTGGTGCGCGCTCACAGACAGCGTAGTTCATTTAATTGCTAAAGAGATGCTCCCATTCAATATTGTTGAAAAGCCGGCATTTCGAAAAATGTTGCAGACATTTGATAGACAGTATGAACTCCCGAGGAAAACATACATATCACCAACATGATAAATTATACATCCGTTTTTATTTCCACTGTGGTTTTATCTTGTGTTTAGTTTTTATTCGTGTATTTTTAGTTAACAGAGACTGAGAGTCCATTTGATTTTTATTTCTCGTTTTATTTTGTTAACTAGTTCCAGTGTTAAGTGTTCATTTGAAAAAAAGGTATGTTTATCTTTGGCAGGAAAATGCATGCATTATTATGTCATTTCCATTAAATCAGTGTAAATAGGTCTTAAAACAATATTATCGTTTATCGCAATCAATTTTGAGACAATTAATCTTTTAGCAAAATTTGTTATTATGACAGGCCTACAGAGCGATGCAATTCTGTTTGAGATCAGGGAACATCTGGTGCTCCACAATGTTGGTAAAAGTCACAAAGATGATATCACTTTGTATTTTTTTAGACAAACACATTTATATTTGGTTCTCTAAGGTGCATTCAAACTGAGCGAATTTCAACGAAAGTGGTTGGAAAACGAGGAATTCGGGACATGGCTGCAGCCTGTCGACGGGAACCTGTTGGTGGCATTAAAATTATTTCTAAGCGCATTAAAAAGCATTAAATTTTAATTATTCATTCCTGTATAAACACTATAATATTATATATATTTTTTTAGTTTTCTTTGTGCTATGTTACTACATTTGCTGTTGGACCACATCGATTTGCCAATGGAGGGTGTTTTCAAATTAGCTTTGCATACTAACAGTGAATTATTGAATGCCATGATTAAAATAGCCAATAACTTCTGTTATTTTCCCACGACTCCGGAGAAAACGGTAGACACAAAAAAGCTTGGAAGCGTTTTTATTGTCGAAACAGAGGATTTCACAGTGAGATGTGTGGCCTTTAACTTTTGCCGAAGTGCCAGCGGGAGTCACATTAAAGGAAACATTCTTTAAGAGACACAATGCTTTAATAGGTAAAATAACCCAAAAACATTATAAAACATTGTTTTCTTGGTCTTTTAGTGGGGAAAAGTAGGGAAAAGGCACAGGGCCCTGACGGCGCAGGTCTGCTGCCAGACTCCTATCGAATTGAAAGTTGTTCTTGATATAAAAGACAGATTACTGTTAAAAAAACAAAAAAAACAAGCTTCTCATTCAGAGCTTAATTCAGGTTTGTTAATGGAAGGAAAGCATGTGACAGAAAATAAGGTGGAAATTTAACAGGGATAGCTGCAGCCTTTAGACCCGCCCTCTCCACTTTAAAAAGAAAATGCACTTGCACAACCCTGTACCTGCTCCCGAGAGGAAACGCCTATTGTACGTGTGCAAGAGCATGCACAAGCCCATTTCTCCTTGTGCACGTTCTGTTTAAAAGTTGCTGTTTGCATTTCTCCTACAAGCTTACTTTCCTAAGATTTTCAATTTTTCCACTATGTCTGACTCACCACCGGTAAGTGAAAATAGGGCAAGCACGTAGGACGGCCTTACATCACCAGAATGTATATATCACTACAATGATTCACCATTTATTTTGATGATCCACACAGGAAAAGCATGTCCTCCACTCTACCTTTAACTACAGGGTTTCTGCAAGTCATTAAATTATTATTTTTTAAATTAATGCCTTAATTGGCATTAAAACTCATTAAATGTGATTATTGGGGCGTTTAAAATGCCTTATTGAAAAAAAAATGTTTATAAAAATTAGTGTTGCACCGATACCAGTATCGGACGGGGCCCCGATACTGCCCTAAAATGGTTGTATCGGCGAGTACCAACAAATAGGGCACCGATACCATTTTGAGAGCCATAAGTTTCTTTAACTATTGTCACCCATTCCAGGTAGGCAATAAAAAGTTCTACTGGTTTAACTTTGTATTAGATTTTTTCCTGCTTCACAAAAGTAGGCAGCAACTTGACAAAAAAAAAAACATCTTCAGAAGCTCCAATACATTCAAAACAGCGCAGCCAGGATTCTCTTGAGGGCCCGCAAATTTGCCCATATTACACCTATTCTGCATGACCTTCACTGGCTTCCCATCACCTGCAGAATTCAATACAAAATCGCGCTCATCACCCATCAGTGTTTAAACGGATCCTCACCGGATTATCTGAAGGACCTTCTCACTCCACATTCATCCACCAGATCTCTTCGATCACAAGACTGCAACTTTCTTCACCTTCCTCGCTCCAGATTAAGCTCCATGGGAGATCGGGCCTTCGCTGTCGCTGCCCCCCGTCTCTGGAACTCTCTCCCAGATCATCTGAGAGCTCCACAACCACTGAATGATTTTAAAAGAGGCTTGAAGACTTTTTTATTTAAGCAAGCCTATTCTGCCTCCACATGATTTTTATGTTGTTGATTTTTATCTTTGATTTTATTTGCACTGTGTAGCACTTTGAGATTTTTTCTTAATGAAAAGTGCGGTACAACTTGGATTTTTTATTATTATTATTATTATGGCAATTATTTTACATTATTATGGTATCGGTATAATACTGCACAGCCGGGTATCGGGGGCAAAAAAATGGCATCGACACAACACTAATAAAAACATTTCGTCTGATATATCACGATATATTTGCGTGGAAGTGCTTCCGGTTGATCGTAAAGCCGTTTGAAAGAAGTTCTAAAGAAGCTCGAGGCGAAGAAAAATCTTGAGAATGGGAAATTGTACATTTCCACAAAACTGGCTGGAAAACTAGGAATTCAGGACTTGGATGCAGCCTGTCGAGGGTAAAGATGACGAAAGATTTTGCCGTGTATATATGAGAGTCGGTACTTGTTGATGTCATTAAAATTATTTCTAAGAGCATTAAATAAGAGTTACTCATTCCTATATAAACCCTGAACTAAGTTTTGTTTTTTTTTTAGCTCCAAACCATAATCAATGCACTAATTGGAAGTAGCCAAAAACAGGCTTAAAATTTGTAAGGCAACTAGACTTTCGTTTTCTTTTTGAAGACGTCTGGACATCTATCCAAGAGTCTTTGTCTGTTCTGTCAGCTCGCACCAGACCAAACTGTAATTGGAGCACTGATGTATTTAAGCAGCATAGAGGACCAAACTTCTGCACACATTCCAATTCAGATTCAAATCAAATGGCCAGCCTTTGTTCTACTCGAGTATTGGGGCCAAATTTCCATTATAAAGCCCATTTTGTGGCTCTCATGACCCAGATGACTGAGAATTTACAATGGCATATTTAGAAGCAAAAAAAAACTTCTCAGTGATATTCTAATCTGAGATTGAACAGTTTTATCTTCATTTTAAATAAATCATGTCAATTTGTTGCTTTTCCTTCAGGCTAAGGTGAATAATTCCAGCTTGGTAGGGATTGGATACACCCAGACTTTGCGGCCTGGTAAGAACCCTTTTAAAGCAAGAAAAAAAATTAAATAAAAAGCACTTTAAAAATAAACTGTCAATTTTTTGGAACCCCCTTTACAGGAATGAAGCTCACCCTCTCTGCTTTAGTGGATGGGAAGAACATCAACGCCGGTGGTCACAAGCTGGGTCTGGGCCTAGAACTGGAGGCGTAAAGATCCGCTTCAATGTTTCAGAAGAATATCTGCAGATTCTGCGACTGATATTTTAACCACGAGGCCAAACAAAGTAGAATCCCAATATACAGGCACCAATGAGATGGAAACGGACATTTCCACCAACCTCCTGTCATTGTGATTCAGCCACATGTATTTATTTATCAGCCCCCCCCGCCCACCCCTCCTTTGCTAATTTCTCCTCCTTACAACCTGCTTAATTATGTTTGACAATCCGGGAGTGGTTTTAAAACCTTTATATTCTGCTGAAATGTGTTCATGTAGAATGTACAACTGTTATTTTGCACAGTAGATTTTACTTTTATTTAATCTCTTAAGCATTCTCCTTGCCTATTTTGGTGATGTTCTGGTAGTGTTCTACTGCCTGGTGGAAGTTGCTGCTCCTCACTTATATTTCCAATAGATTTATTGTGCTATATCAGTTTTTAGACATCTGAGTTCTCCCTTTTTTTGCTCGACAGTGCTGAATACATTGAAATAAATGATAGGAAACGGAATGAAACCACTTCTTTCCCAGTTTAGAGGCTGCAACACTAATTATGCAAGAGCAGTCTGTATGTTGGTGTGTGTGTACCTTCAAAATAAAGTCCTGAAATCCACCCATTTTCTCATTAAGTTTTTATTACAATACATATTTAGGCAACTTGGTGTAATGAAGAAGAAATGTATCACATGTCAAGTTCATCCGGAGGCAGTAAAAGAAACTCAACAGTTTTAAGGTCTTAAAACTTATGTGAAAATATTGTTTTTAGGCAGTAACTACACCTGATACCAAGGAAAATCTAAAATGTATAACTTCCACCTCATATCCTCTATACATGACGGCTTATTTAAAAAAATGCTCTGATGTTACACTTAGGTTATGTTTTCACTAATATGGACCAAAGCTTAAAGTTTGACTGCCAGCGTCAGCCCGTCTCCCACCGTCAGCATGCTCAAAGTGACCCGGATATCTTTGTGCAGCTTCTTGTTCAGCTTGTCGATGGCAACAGTGTCGGCATCGTTGGGAGAGGGATTCAGCACCCTCCCGCCCCACAGCACCTGAACGCCACAAAAAATGTGTTATCCATGGTCTATATTATAAAAAAAATTGCATTTTCAAGTTCAGGTCATAATCTCACATTGTCGATAGCGATGATGCCTCCTTTCCTTAACAGGAGCAGAGATTTTTCATAGTAATTGTCATAGTTAACTTTGTCTGCATCGATGAAGATAAAGTCAAATGTTTCAGCCTGACCGGAGGAAAGAAGATCATCTGTAAAAACAATGGAAAGGGGAAACATTTTTTTAGATTTGAAGCTGAAGGCTTAAATCTTATTTTAATATGTAACAGATGTAACAGACCATAGTGATTTTGGGAGAGAAGACTAGACTACGGAAGAGGATTAGGGCCACCGAAAAAAAAAAAAATGATTTTTAAATTTTATTTCAGTTTAATATGGGGGGAAAAAAGTCAGAATTCTGAGATTAAAGTCAGATTTCTGGAAAAAAAAGTCGCATTTCTGAGATTCTTGGAATTCTGAGAAAAATGTCAGGATTTTGAGAAAGTCGGAATTCCGAGATAAAAGTGGAAATTCCGTGATTAAAGACGGAATTAAAGAAAAAAGTCAGAATTGTGAAAAAGTCGGAATTCTAAAAAAGGCAAAATCTGAGAAAAAAAAGTCAGAATTCTGAGATTAAATTTGGAATTCTCTTCGGAATTTTTTTTCTCTCATATTATACTGAAATAAAATCTAAAAGTCTTAACTTTTTTTAAATTTTTTAAGTGGCCCTAATCCTTTTCTGTACAAGACAGTAGCTAGAACTGCTTGTTATTTTTTGGTTGTGACTGCTTTAATAAACTTATTATTGAATGCATCAAGGAGACCCTGCAACCTCCATTATGAGAAACTGCTTTGAGCAACGAAAACACAACTGTGGGATGAATGTGTTGGCTGAGCATCATGGAGGCCCTTTATGGAGAAGCCATAATAGCAGTGGATTTGGAATCTGATTTTTATGCTAGAGCTCCTGACTTTGGCTCAAATCTCACCAAGCATCTGAAAACAAACCTCAATAAGTGCAGTACAGTCATCAGGCCCTTTGCACGTTGATTGTTTTGTGGAACAGTTCCTACACATTTCAAGGTTGTAATTTAAATGTGAAATGTTTGACAGACTGTTAAAGAAAAGCCCTCTTATTAGGGACATTTTATATGTACTTCAGAAACAGTTTAGTTCTGTGTAAACCATTTATTGACAGAGGCCCTAGAAGGTGAAAGATCTCTCAATTAATGGCATATTGTGTTCTATTATAGAAGTATAATCTGAAATTAAAAACCAGTATGAAGAAAAAACGAGAAATTAATCCAGTTTTCTTTTTATCTTACAGTAATATGAAAGAAAAACGACAGTCGATATACCGATTCGAGTTGCTAAAACCTCTAGGTTGCCATTTTGGGTTAAACCACTGTTTTCACTTCTTTCATTACCTTAGAACAAAGATGGATGATATGCACAATAAATTTGGACTGATCCTTTTCTCTAAAGGGCTGCAGCAGGAAAGCTCATTAACAGGCTGCTCCTAAACTCAATAAAGACACCCTCTAATTTGTTCTCTAATGTCAATTAAAGGAAACTAATTAGTGGTTTCCCCCTGAAGCGTATGCCATACTCTCCTAATAAATAAAATGATTATTAGATACATCATAGAAACTGTAATGTTTGTAGTAGTTATAAACAGGCATGCCAACCACATATATTTAGAGTTAACATGCATCTTTTTTAAAGATAACTAAAAAAATAAAGAGCAAATTTATTCTGTTTTTAGGAATCAACCCATTTGTAGCCATGTTAAGGAGGAGTCAAACATAGAATAAGTGCTTCACTTATAAGAGGTTTTAGAGCTCTATTTGATCTTTTAAACTCTGCCCTTTTCAAACAAGTTTTTGTTTTATAAAGATATAAAAGATGCATCAAACTTCTATTTAAACACAGTTGAAACAGGCATGGGTTACTTATTGGGGCGCCCTCATCTCATCCTCAACTCAAACAAGCCTTTGTTGTACTTTACGGTTCTGCTTATTTCAACAAATAACAGTGAAAATACCATAAATGATGTAAAGACCTCTTGTACCGTGGAAATTAAGTTGAAAATAATCCTTCAGTGACTTTTGTAACATCTCAAGTACAATTACTGTCCAATTTATAAATGTTAGCTACTGTATATATAAAGTACTGTACCCAGAGTGTTTATGGCTGGTTGAATGCGCAGGTCTATTTTGTGCTCAACTCCAGCCTATAAGAAAAAAGACAAAGATAAATACAACAAATGAGTTAATCAGAAGCTTTGAATTTGGGTGTTTTTTATTTACAATTTTGTTTACAAGTATGGGTGAAAAGATTCTAATTGAAAAATTTATTTGTCCAAGTGAATCAATTAAAATGGAAACTCATTATTTCCCACAGATTACCATTTTAAATTGTATTTACAGGTGCTGGTCATAAAATTAGAATATCATGAAAAAGTAGATTGATTTCAGTAATTCCATTTAAAAAGTGAAACTTGTATATTATATTCATACATTACATACAAACTCATATATTTCAGATGTTTATTTTGTTTAATTTTGATGATTACAAATGACAACAAATGAAAATCTCAAATTCATCATATCAGAAAATTAGAATATTACTGAAGACCAATAAAAACAAAGGATTTATAGAAATGTTGGCCAACTGAAAAGTATGAACATGAAAAGTATGAGCATGTACAGCACTCAGTATTTAGTTGGGCCTCCTTTGGCCTGTATTACTGCAGCAATGCGGCGTGGCATGGAGTCGATCAGTCTGTGGCACTGCTCAGGTGTTATGATAGCCCAGGTTGCTCTAATAGTGGCTTTTAGCTCTTCTGAATTGTTGGGTCTGGTGTATTGCATCTTCTTCTTCACAATACCCCATAGATTTTCTATGGGGTTAAGGTCAGGAGAGTTTGCTGGCCAATTAAGAACAGGGATACCATGGTCCTTCAACCAGGTACTGGTAGCTTTGGCACTGTGTGCAGGTGCCAAGTCCTGTTGGAAAATGAAATCTGCATCTCCAAAAAGTTGGTCAGCTGCAGGAAGCATGAAGTGCTCTAAAACTTCCTGGTATGTGGCTGCGTTGACCCTGGACCTCAGAAAACACAATGGACCAACACCAGCAGATGACATGGCACCCCAAACCATCACTGACTGTGGAAACTTTACACTGGACTTCAAGCAACGTGGATGAAGTGCCTCTCTTCTTTTCCTCCAGACTCTGGGACCTTGATTTCCAAAGGAAATGCAAAATTTACTTTCATCAGAGAACATGACTTTGGACCACTCACCAGCAGTCCAGTCCTGTTTCTCTTTAGACGCTTCTGACGCTGTCTGTGGTTCAAGAGTGGCTTGACACAAGGAATGCGACATCAGAAACCCATGTCTTTCATACGTCTGTGTGTGGTGGTTCTTGAAGCACTCACTCCAGCTGCAGTCCACTCTTTGTGAATCTCCCCCACATTTTTGAATGGGTTTTGTTTCACAATCCTCTCCAGGGTGCGGTTATCTCTCTTGCTTGTACACTTTTTTCGACCACATCTTTTCCTTCCCTTCGCCTCTCTATTAATGTGCTTGGACACTGAGCTCTGTGAACAGCCAGCCTCTTTAGCGATGACCTTTTGTGTCTTGCCCTCCTTGTGCAAGGTGTCGATGGTCATCTTTTGGACAACTGTCAAGTCAGCAGTCTTCCCCATGATTGTGTAGCCTATAGAACTAGACTGAAAGACCATTTAAAGGCTTTTGCAGGTGGTTTGAGTTAATTAGCTGATTAGAGTGTGGCACCAGGGGCCATCAATTTTGAACCTTTTCACAAAATTCTAATTTTCTGATATGATGAATTTGAGATTTTCATTTGTTGTCATTTGTAATCATCAAAATTAAACAAAATAAACATCTGAAATATATGAGTTTGTATGTAATGTATGAATATAATATACAAGTTTCACTTTTAAATGGAATTACTGAAATCAATCTACTTTTTCATGATATTCTAATTTTAAGACCAGCACCTGTATATTATAGTTTACAGCAAAAAAAAAAGCCCATTAATTGACGTTTGGACACAGTGTCTTCTGTTTCTAGAGGGAGGTGTTAGTTGGCCTGCTGGAAAACTGTCAGCAGGTCTAAGTAAAACTTTTTAGCTGTAACCCAATCATCAAAATCAACAGATATAAAAAAAACACTAAGTGTATCACTGAATATCATTAATTTCATTCCTTTAGATGAACCTGAAACTTCAAAAATGCAATATAAACAAAACTTAAAAATATGCACTTAATATAGAGGGAGAATCTCACCTTTAAGGCCTGTTATTCAATAAATAAAAATATGTTACTAAGCCAAAGGATATGCTATAACTCAAACATCCAAGTTTCTTCAAATAAATATAAAAAAATAATAATAATTTGACAGATTTTTAACTAGGTTGTTTTTTTTTCTTCCTTACTGTAAAGAAAACTAACAAAAAAGAAATAACCTCAGCATAATTTATTGAAATCAGAAAAAATATTCCAAAAGTTATTCATCTAATCTGAAAAACATTGCCTTATATTTGGTTTTGCTTAAAAAGTTCCTGTATTTACTTCAGCTTTAAATTGACTTCTTTTCGAAAAGAAACAAAAAAGGAAACTTTGGTTTTGCTATCTTCCAGCAGCCGCACCTTTCTAAATGAAAAACATATAGTTGTTTTTATCAGAATGGAGGATCACTGTACCTCCTTCCAGAAAGGTTTACCGATGTTGGTGTACTCTTCACTGATGTCACATGCTACAATCACTCCGTCTTCGGGCAAAGCCAGCGCCATACTCAGCGTGTTGTAACCTGTGTACACTCCTGTAGATACGGCAAAACATTTAGGTCAAAATATGACAACAAAAGAGATGAAATAACTTCCTGGTGTTACTGTGTACCCAGCTCACAATACAAACAGATTCTTTACTCTGTATGGACAAACATCGGTGTATTTTATTGTCCATATAGTGTATTAACACAAGGGTTTTCTATGTAAAGTAAAGTAAAACATGGTGCTTCTTAAAGGTATAGAGGACGATCTTTTATTTCCGGGTTGATCATCTAAATAAGTGGCCCTCCTAATTGTCAATCATTCTGGTGACACTCCTGAAAAATCTGGTTTCATTACTTGAAGCTGTACTTTTTTTTTTTTTTTTTTCATTCATAGACGATTCAAAAGTTCTTCTTATATTAAGGTATCATTTCATCACCTTAAACTGTTTATCTTCTCAGTTTGGCTGCATTAATACTGACTTAATCCATAAATTTAATTTAAATGATGACGGACATCAACTGATTGCTCTGGATAATTAGTGGTGTCAGAGTAAAGGGGCTGCATATAGATGCATGCTGTCCTAAAAAAACAACCCACAGAGACTTATATGCAGCGCCCCAAAGCAGACACTGACCCTTCGTCCTGTGACCCAGATTCAGCAGCTAGTTTCCCCTGAAGAGAGCCGATTTCATTGGCAGCAGATATATACAAACAGGCTTTTAATCGCCCTCTGAAATGTGCAAATTCCTGCTGGTCAGTCTGTGATCACAGAGCAGTTTGACAAAGGAACAGATTATATAAAGAATAGAGTGGGCTATTGTTTTAGATTCATTGGATATAACTTTGTATTCATTGATTATTCATTTAAAGGATTTGAAATATAGTTACATTAAACCGTCTGTTCAGCATGAACAAGGGCTGCAACTAACGATTATTTTGCAAATTGATTAATCTGTCGATTATTTTTTGATTAAAAATTATCGGATGGCAAAGGTTCCTTAAGGAGGATTTTTTTACGAAACTGAGGAGTTCTCGATAGAGCCAACAGATGAAGAAGTTTTTTTTTAATGTGAAATGTTTATAAATTGTTTTACAATTTTGATATAATTACTGCTCTAAGTGGGTTGTTCTGTCAGATAAAGGCATGTTTTACAGTCTCTATACTCCAGTTAACGATTAATTAATTACTAAATTAATTGACAATTATTTCAATAATCGATAATTGTTTTAGCCCTACTATATATAAAAATCTGCATATAAATGACTGATCTATATCTATCTCCCCTTTACACTGACACCCTTTGTAAAGATTTAGTGTGGTCATCCAAATGGTTTTTCTTACATTTTAATCCTTTAAAAATTGGGGAAAAATGATGAAATGAAAACAATACATGGTTTTTTTTAAGCAGATTTTTTGTCATCAAGGCAAATTGAGTTAAATTGTTTGGCTGATATCATAAAGTCTGTCGCAATAGGATTTTCGTGTCCAGGCTGTGATCGATACGATGCGCTATATTCTGCACATCTAATGCAACTATTTGCATTGATAACTCACAAAAGTACGGAGCCCCTCTGATGACATGGTCAAAAAACATTTTTAATTGTGGCCACAAAGTAGTTTAACGTGCGCACGAAATACTACTTCGTGGCCACGCAATAACTTTAACGTGTGCACGAAATACTTATTAATAATATTAATATTAATCATTCCTGGACAACTGGGTAAGCAAATCGAGCGCGCCTTCTCTAAGGTCTAAGGTGCGCTCGATTTGCTTACCCAGTTGTCCAGGAATGATATTAATATTATTAATAAGTATTTTGTGCGCACGTTAAACTTATTGCGTGGCCACGAAGTAGTATGTCATGCGCACGACATACTACTCCGTGGCCACAATTAAAAACTTTTTTTTGACCATGTCATCAGAGGGGCTCCGTACAAAAGCACAAATACAATTTGCCATTTTTTTTTATTTCTTTGCTCTTCAAGGCATCAAGAGTTTAAATCAATGCCATCATGCCTTGTAAATTAAAAAACAAAGGGCTGCTGGAAGTAATTTTGAACAGGGGGTGCTGTGAAATCTTTTTGTTTTTCAGAGAGAACACCTATGAGCCTTTAGGTCAATTTGAAATACAATAGATTGAGATTCACTTCTTTATTTTCATAAACACTTCAGTGAACGCAACCAGACATCATCAGTTCTCATTGTGAATATATATGCGCTATATACCATTACTATTTATTACTCACAATAACACTATAACAACGTACATTTGGTCAGCTGGCATGAACCTGAGTCCCTGTGTTTATGCAACACATGACTTTTAGCTTTAAAATCCTTTTACGCAAACCACAAGAAAATAATTACTTTATTATACTATTTAAGCGTTATTGAACACTTCAATATCGGATGCCGTTTGTAAAGTTAAGCAGTCAAAATTTAGGAGCAATATTTAATAAAATAAGGAAGTTATTTTTTTTTCCCCGAAAGTCATTTTTTCACTATGTCATTCATTCATTAATAAAAATCTTACTTTGTTAAATAAATATTTAGTTTGGAGCTAAATATTTAGTTTGTTAAATAAATATTTAGCTCCTAACTAAATATTCATCGTGGAGCTAAATATTTAGTTTGGAGCTAAATAAATAGATTGCAAATTAAACATTTAGTTTGTTAAATAAATATTTAGTTTTTTTAAAGAAATACTTAGCTCCAAACTAAACATTTAGTCTGTTAAATAAATATTTGGCTACAGATTTAATATTTATTTAACTAATTTGGAGCTAGCTAAATATTTAGCTAGCACCAAGTAAGCTAAATATTTGATTAGGCTTAAGAATAATGAAGATAAAATCCAAATACACGTTATAGTAAAAAAATAAAAATTACAAATTTTTATTTTTAATTTTTATTTTATATTCCCAAAATATTCATAAGAAATTTATAAATTGTGCAAAGTATTTTTAATACAATTGTTTTTTTTATCTCTCTCTAGCCACTAGGGGGTGCTGCAGCACCCCCACTTCCCGTGGCCATGATGTATCTTAAAGATGATGTGGATTGATTTCTTAATTTTGCATGGATGTAAATTAGTCTATGTGGAAAGTATTGACACCCCGAATACTTACCAATTTCCAGCGCCTTCTTGGCTTGAATTAGTTTTGCCAGGTTGGCCATGAACTGCGCTTGCTCACAGGCAACCATCATGATGTTCCAGGTGTCCTGCATCGTCCTCTAAAACAATCAGCAACCAAAAATTTGTCTTAAACCTTATATCTGGAACCACACAACTCACAAAGCAGTGAACCAGACCTACAATACTCACCAGACGGAGGTTTTTCAGAACCGGATGCTCCCTCAGTGAATGATTGAGTACATACTGCATCAGTGGGTCTTCCTTCCCCCTGCTATGACTTTTGGAGATGCTCATTCTGAAAGATTTCTTCTTTCCTGAGGGAAAACATCAAACAATAGCGATCTTGAGAGTCCAGACCTAATACAACTGCAGTCTGATGTTGGAGCTGTTATTAAATTTAGATGTGATCAGGCTGTATGACCTCAGAGCGAAAATGAAATTGACGTATTTGAAGCGACAGACAAAGCTATAACAAAAAATAAATGAAGGAAATTGTTTGAAGATTTAATGTTGCAGCTTTAAGGAAATGCAATAAAATGTAACCAGAAAGATATAAGACCAAATGGACTATATGCAATAATCCTCATTTAATGGTATATACTGGCATATAATTTAATCTTCACCAAATAGTTTAGGTTTACTAAGTGCATCATTTGTTTGTATAGATCTGTCTTTCCAATCTATTTACAGTGGTCACATCCTTTGCTCTAAGGTTCAGTTGGAATGGAAAAATACAAGCTGAGTAATTACAGCTTTATCCCTCTAATAAAAAAACATCCAATAAGCATAAAATAACGATATTTGATCAAAATTAAAGTTGATACATTTGTAAGAACACAAGAACTTTAATAAAGACAAAAATGAATCATGTAAAAATTTTAATTACACCAAAATAAGATTCAAAATCTTTTCTTTCTATATTTTCTAAGGCCAATCTAAGTTGTAACCTATAGATTTTTTACTTTAAATCAGGCCAGAAGTAAGTGCCAATAAGAAATCCACCATGTCTGGATTATGTTATAAACATATTAAAAGATGTTTCCTTAAAAAGGTATGAAACAAAGACAGCTGGTATTGATATAAATCCGTTTAAGGTGGACAATTCTAAATGCAGGGTAAATAAACAGTTTGGTTTTCAATCAAAGTAATGTGTGGGGGAAAAAAATATTAGTCAGCCACTGCTTGTGTAAGTTCTCCTACTTAGAAAGACTTTTGATTGGCTACTGTATAAAACCTCGATCTCAACGCTATATCTGAAATTTTGAACTGAAAAAGCTTCCTGGATGGGAAGCGAAACGTCTTAAAACTTGCAAACAAAGTCCAGTGGATTGTTCTTTCTTTACTTTTTTTTTGAACTCCTACTTAGAAAGGTTTAATTTCATCATAGGAACAAACTAGGAGAGAAAAAAAATATATATCAGGAAATTGGTAAGAATTTATTTGGGAATTATAGTGAAAAATAGGTATTTGTTTGCCCACAAACATCGAGATGTTGCCCCTCACAGACTTGTAGCTTCTTCTTTAAGAAGCTCCTCCTCTTCCACTTGTTACTTGTATTGAAAGCACCTGTTTGAACTCGTTATCTGTACAAAAAGCACCTGTTTAAACTCGTCTCTATTAAAACCACCTATTTGAACTTGTTATCTGTATTAAAAGGCACCTGTTCACAGCCTGAAACAGTTCCACTTCACACACAATTAAAGCCAATAACAGAGCTGTCGAAGGACAACAGGAAGAAGCCAATAGGCAGCATGCACTGCAATAATGATCTAGAAATAAGTAAAAATGTCTTAAATTAAGTGTATGTTTCCTTAATCTGAGTAGGTAAATAAGATGACTTGCCAATGGAATGAGATTTTTTTACTCTTAATTAGAAAATATGCACTTGAAATAAGACAATGCAATTGTTTTAATTTAAATGTAAATTGTCTTGTTGCATTGGCAAAGTGTATCACTTACCCTTCAATTGAAGAAAAAAAAGGAACTAATTTTAATAAATAAATGCTTATTTAAATTTCAATGTTTTGCAGTTGTTTTGTGTTTGTTGAGAAGAAATCAACTGTGAGAGCAACTGGAAGACATAAAGACCATTGATAATCTCCATCAATCTGGGGCCACAGATTTTATGAACCAGAAATACACAGAGGGGCCTGATGATTAAGCTGCATGGAGCAAACTTTACACAGGGGGACCTGCTTCATGCAGTTTTCACACCTCACATATTTTCCACCATATTTTACAAATTGATACTTTGAAAACCCAACAATGTTATTTCCTGTACTTTTTTCCAATTTTTCTCTCATAGATTAAGAGTAGCTTTGATAGAAATCACAGAGCTCTCTCATTAAGTAAAACTTACAATGAGTGGCTTACTATCCATTTCCCCCCACTGTGACTAATATACATAATAATTTAATTATAAAATAATATCATTATTTGTTCTTCATTTATAATTGGTATAAAAGCAACCCTTTAACAATAAACACCACCATGGTTCTGATATATACTATCAAGGAGGTAGACAGCTGCTTCATTGGATAGCTAAAAACCATACTTTACCACTAAAATTTCCCTGAAGAGCTTTAACCCAAAGGCATGTACTCCAAATATTTTTTTTTAGAACTTTTTATTTAACCATTTAAGTAATTTTACATAACATCTCCTGACACAAACTCAAGTAGTAAATATCACGACAAACACAAAATACCAAAAATCTTCACAATCATGAGAGCAGGCAGAGCAGATGACATCCACAACCTGTAATCTGTGACCAAACAGGACCCTTTCCCATAGATGAATTCCACACTCATCCCATCATCCCCTGCATCGGACACCCAGGTATTCTGAAATACAAGTCCATCTTTGTACAAAAGTGTGCATAGTTAGCTGCAGGCTTGCAGTCATTCTCCCCATTGTATAAACATGCTTAAATCTCTGGACCCATTCACTTATAGTTGGTGGTTTTACATCATCTAGTGCAGTGGTTCTCAAACTTTTTCTGTCATTCCCCACTTTGGACAAGGGGGAATTTTCAAGCCCCGCCTGTCCCCATCGCCCCAACACAATGCTAATGAAATATTCAACAATCTTAAAATGTTCCAATTTTATTGAAGTAACAAGTAGTATCTAAATACAAATCTACATCAAATAACAGCAAGCTCAAAAATAAAGAAAATAAAAATGCAGCTGTGTCAAAATTTGTATCAAGCTCAAAGATAGAAAAAATTAAAGTGCCACTCTGCAATCTGTTAATAAAAGAAAAGAAGTGAAATCCATCTGGCAAGACAGGTCTATTTATCCCTGCATTAGTGGCTGCAATGAGCCTGTTTTGCATTGCAGTTTCTCAAAACGGGGTTGCAGGCTTGATACTGCCACTCTCAAGTCATGCTCAATGTTCAGCTGAGATCTGTATTTTGTTTTCATTGAAGCAGCAGCTGAAAAGCCCATCTCACAGAGATATGATGTGGCAAAGGGAAGAAGAATGCACACAGCTCTCTGCCCGATGAGTGGATACTCGCTCTCCACTCCTAACCAGAAACATGAACATGTGGCTGTGTGAATCAAACGCCGTTATTTATTTAAGATAAAATATTTCAAATTCAGTTATTTATGATCAACCTGCGCCGTCAATCCCGGCGCATGTGCGCTTTATTTGCAGTCTGGACGCAAAAGTTAAACATGCTGTGTCTCTGCTCTGACTGCAGCGCTGATAGGGACTCCTGCAATAGCGGGGGAGAACGGGGTTGGGACGGGGGAGGCGCCCCACGGCAGCACCTGCCGCTGGAGGACAAGAAAAGGAACGATACGTGCTTTCACGTAAGAGTCTCCAAAAGGCGCTAGATTTGTTTTTTTGAAAAAGAGTCGCTGGAGGGGTCTGAAATATAGCGACAAAGTCGCTGAGTTGGCAACACTGGGGCGCGAAAGTTTATTCTGTTACAAATAATATGCCGACGTCACGTCAATCATTATTTTGGCACTTCAGTTCCAGGTGAAATTTTTCTCATATCTAATGTTCTTTTAATTAGACTGCATGTAGGCTAGTAATGATTACTTTGTGGGTTTGATTGGTCTAAAAAGCGGCAACATACAGCTATAAGGACAGTTTGCTCTCACACATTCTACATTTATAGTCACACACACACACACACACACACACACACACACACACACACACACACACACACACACACACACACACACACACACACACACACACACACACACCGGAACTTGGCGCGCCCCACCTGTCACGTCTCAATTCCCCACCAGTGGGTCGCGCCACACACTTTGAGAACCGCGGATCTAGTGCATAGTAAACATGGCTGACTCCCAATAAAAATACCACAGGTTCAGGAGTCATATTTACTTTCAATATTCCCTCCATTTCCTTTTTAATATTTTCCCAAAAACCTTGTATTACTGGACAAGCCCAACAAATGTGTGTGGTTTCGCCAGCATAATACTACACTGGGATTTTTTTAAACATGAGGAAATAATAAAGGGAGTATTAAAGTATCTGATCTTCCCTTTCCAATCAAACTCTTTCCATAATAGGCTGCTTATTCCCCTATGAGAGCTGATGCATATGTCCACCCATGAAGAAACTTCATGCACTCCAAATTGTAAATAAATAATGGCTGCCTAAAGGAATATTCCTTCTGTCTTTATTGCACTGAACTGCTTCAGATCAAACTAATATTAGTGTCAGAGATACAAGCAGAATACAAAATGAAGTTTGAAATTTTAAGTCCTGCTCTGGCCTGCGTTATTAACCAGTTATTACATGTATGGGGCATTTACAGGGAGTATTTTGGTTTGTGAAAAAAAAAAAACAATAAAAAAATAAAGATGGCTTTATGGACACTTATACCTGATATGACTGAAAAATGTAAAACATCGGTTATCGGTAGAAATAAGAGAAAAACAAACTCCCTACAGAAATCATTATTTCCTGGAAAAGTAACCCCCCCTCCCACACCTGTTCCTGGAAGGTTACCTTTGAATCCTTGAAAATCTCAAGACTTTATAAAGCGATCGTTTGAAAGAGTTGATCTCCTTTGAGCTTACCGAAGACATATCCTGCCACAAAAACAACCCCGAGTGCGAGAGATCCAACCAGAGCCTCTCTGGAAACGTTGCGATAAGACATAGCAGGGAGCGATAATATCCACGCAGCATTAAGCAGCAGAGCAGCGCAGCCTCCTTCCGCGTTGCCTCGGCGCGCTACCGTAAAACCGGCAGGAAAAGAGCACGCGCACAGGGAGCGTTAACCTTTATTCTAATGGGAAATAACGCGCAAGAACATTATTAAAAGTCACATGCAATCAAATGAACAAGGCATTAGATGGAGCGTAAAATGCTGTCCTTTAACGAAAAATGATACTCACCACTTTTAAAGGCGCGGCCCCTGGATTACAGACAGCTATAGAAGAGACTCCTGCTGAAATGAACCCTGATAACCAGACCAGTCATGTGTGCACAATGGGAATCATGTGATTCACTGGAGCTTTTATGATAGGACTAAATCCAAAACGCCCCGCATCAGACCATCACCAAGCTTTGTGCAAATCATCGACCCCATTTTTATTGATAATGTCTGAGTTAATTTGAGATTTTACTAAAGTCTGGATAATCAGAGCTCAGCACATTAAGAACAGGGAATAAAATAAATTATATTTAAGGACAGTAACGTTTTGGTACTAATTATCATTAGTAGCCTACTCTTCAATTTCAACCTGCACTGACTTTGGACTGTATCATATTTGATATAAAAAAAGCAGATAATACAGATCCCCCAATAATTCCAGTGGAATCGTCACACTGAAACATGGATTCTGTTTTTCCTTCCCTCCTTTTCCTTCAGACTCTGGGATCTTGGTTTTCAAATAAGCTGCAAAAAGCACCAGCAGGTGTTCCAGAAACATTTATTCAGGAGACTTCTTAAACTCTGCCTCCAGCTGCAGTTCCTGCCTTGTACATCTTCCCCAAATGCACTGAAAAAATAATGTAACCGCTTTTGCTATTTACTTTATCATTTTTAGTTACTTTAACACAATAGTTTTATGTGCTACCCTGCTAACATGAAACAATTGTGTTAAAGTAACTAAATATGCCAAAATGCCAAAAACGGTTGCATTTTTTTTTTAGTGTGTATGAATTTTCTCACATCAATCTCAATCCTGAATTTACTTCACAATAATCCTACAGATTAGCCCTGTTACATTTATGTTTGATTTCATTAGCCACAATCATTATAACTTAAATGTATCTCACATAAGGAATATAACAGGGCAATTTCCTCTAAATCTGCAGGTTTACTAGTGGTTCCTAGAATTTCTAAAAGTAGAATAGGAGGCAGATCTGTCAGTTACAGTATCAGGCTCCTCTCTACCAACTACCAGTTTTAGTCCATGAGGCAGACATTCTGTCTACTTTTAAGCGTAGGCCTAAAACTTTCTTTTTTGAGAAAGCTTATAGTTAGAGTGGCACAGGTTATCCTGGGCTATCTCTGTAGTTATGCTGCTATAGGCTTACACTGCTGGAGGACATAGAAACTCCTATTTCATTATTTTGTTTCACTCTATCTCCATTCTTCCACTGCAGAATCTTTTTGTTCAATCTTTAACCTTACACTCATAGTAGCTTCACCTCATCTGTTCCTGTTTGGCTGTGACATCATCCTGGAGAGAAATATTAGCTGTTCTGCTGCCATCAACACCTTTGTATATACAGTAGATGTTCGATATCTACCTGTTTTTCAGTGTAGTCCTGTTTCTGGCTGACTGTGACTGGCTGGATGTGCTTTCTTCATCCTCTGACATGGGAGTTAGCTCAGAGCTCGTCTGCCTGGCTGTGTGTTTCCTGGACGGGGCCGCCTTTTACAGTTGCTTTTTGAATCTCTGCTTCTGTCTCCTTGAACCCCAGTCGGCCTCAGCAGATGGCCGCTCACACTGAGCCTGGTTCTGCTGGAGGTTTCTTGTTAAAAGGGAGTTTTTCCTCTCCACTGTCGCTAAAAGCATGCTTAGTGTGAGGGATTGCATTTGAGTCAATGAGTTGATGCAATCAACTGGTTTTTCTTAAATAGAAAACTGAATCAATTTGACTGTATGATCTGGTGAACTGTAAAGGGCCTTGAGATGACATGTGTTGTGAATTGGCGCTATATAAATTAAATTTATATAAAGAAAAGCAAAAGAACTACAACAAAAAACGTTTTTAAATCTTACGCCTCAATTAGATTTTTATGAAACTGTTATTTGTTGAAAGTAGGGGTGCAACTAACAATAATTTTGCTAAGCGATTGTTCTATCGATTATTTTTTTTTTTGATTATATTTAGATTAATCGATTAATAATTGGACATCAAAAGGTTCCTTTAAGAAGATTTTTTACAGAATTAAACCAAGTGAAACCAATTTTTTCCTGGATAGAGCATACTGAGAGATGAGAAAGTATTTTTAATATTAAATGCAAAAAATTTATATTTTTTACAATGTTGGTACAGTTTCTGATCTAAGTAGGTCGCTGTCAGCTAAAGCAATTTTTTGAAGTCTCTATATTCCAGTTAAAGATTAATCAGTAACTAAATTAGTTGATGATTAATTGTTTCAGTCCTAGTTAAAATGTAATTTTTTCCCCCTAAAATTTGAATAAGAGCTCTGTAGAACAATTCGGAAATATCCTTCAATAATGTGCACAAACATGAGGTCAAGATTAAATTTAAGCTCTTTTAAAAATACTAATTCCTCTACACATAGTGCCACACCTTGCAGCATCTTTGTAAAGATAAGATCTGCCCTGGGGAACTAAATGTTGCTGCTGTCATGTTGGATTGAGGTGCTATAGCCTTTAGTCACCACACGGGGGAGCTGAAGTACAAGCTTCCCTTCCAGCGTTGGAAATGCTGAGCAAGGAGGCAACAAAGGTGAGTTACGGTAATTATTTAACTGTCAAGGATGAACAAGTTAAACTGGCTCTTCAAAACATAAAAACAGTAAAAAAAAAAAAAAAAAAACGGATTGAATTGTCAGGAATGGCAAACGCAGGTTTAAAATCCGAGAGAAGTTAAAATAGTGGCAGATATCATTGGTAATTGAGAGCAGGTGCGAGCAATGAAACGTCATACAATGGGAAATAAAATAAAAGCAATACATAAAATCTAGATGATGTGATTTACTTCCTAAAAATAGCGAAATAAAAGTTCTGAAAGTAAGGAGGAAAAAAAAAAAAACAATAATACGTAACGGATATTTTTTTGCAAACTTTGTAAACCACTTTTTACAAATATAAAATATTAAGTAATTCTCACCACTAAGACCAGAAACCTTCTTCATTAAGACACGAGGAGTGGAAACAACAAAATGTGATCATCCCATGAAAGTGGACATATATCTTCCAGAGCTCTACTGCCCCCTTCTGTCTTATTATGGAAACTGACTCTTTGCTTGCTTTTTTTTTTTTTTTTTTTTTTTTAAGTCAGGAATTACAGCATTTCTTAGTAGCAATGATACATATTCAAAACATTAGTTTGCAATTTTGATATCAACTTTTACATATTTGTGTCCTTATGTTATATTTTTGCTTCTTTATCTACTTAATCTTTCAAACTTAAAGTTGTGATTATTTACAAGTATGACAATTGACTAAATCCAAAATGATAATTCAAACTAAAGTTTTGAAACTGTAATTATGTGAAAAATTATATGATTTGTCAAGATCTTCCTTCTCTTTTATGTATTCAGTAAATGCTCCCCGACAAACAGAGATTACCCATCCATGAAGATTTTTCATACATTTTGAAACTGAAAAGAAGTACATATTATTTTTGGTAAGAATTATTAAGACTGACTGAAATAAAGGATGCAATTAATTAGCCATATATGGCTATATTGAATGATAAATATTTTTATTATTGGAATCCGCTTTATTGGCCAATTTTGGGCACAAATTCGCTCATGGCATGCAGAACTTTAGTTTACATATGCAAGCTTTTAAAGGGTTAAAAAAGATGGGAAAAGAAACCCAACATGTGCACCTCATCATTGTTTTTTTTTTCTTTTAAGGCAGATTATAGTTTTACAGTATTCTATTGCTTAGGATTCTTAGGTTGTGCGGTATTTTATTAAAGTTTTATTCCCTACACTTGTAACCGCAGGGTTGATGCACAAAGGGGCAGTGTTCTCTTTAGAAATAAAATATATAGTTTGGTTGTTAGTCTACAAGGAGCTGCTTTTCAGATGTCTGGAGAGATTACAAGTGTTTCATTTGAACCATTTTATCATTCTCTTATGCAAAGGGCACCACATTCATGAATGCATAATATAAATCAAAAGGAGAATGCCTTTTCTTTTAAAGTCTGACTCACCCCTCTCACTGTCTAGGGTTCCTTGTTAATTTAAGGAATCACAAAACAGAAAAAAATATGAAAATGGACAAAAAATTTACAAATTTTTCATTTCAATACAAACACACAATGGTTTCCTGTTCTGAGATAAAAGTCTATCTTTGCTGAAATTGATAGCGACTGAAATTGACTGTATCTGGCCTAGTAGTTAGTATTGGGGGCTTCCTCCTGATGGCTGCATGTTCCCACAGATTTTCACTCTGTCTCCCAATTGCATGTGCAAATAAGAGCCTCTTATATGGAATCGTTAAAGATATCAGGACCATGATGCTTTGCAAGTTAAGCAAAAAGGGAGTTTTCTCCCACATGTTGGGTGTGTTCCCTAAATGGCTTGTGGCAAACTGCCAATATTCTTCTTCTTCTCTTCCACAAAATTTAGATTTGTGTAGGGAACAACTAATAGGTTTTCTATCAGCTGAATCTCTCACATACACCTATTAATTTATTTATTAATAAAAACCAGTTAAAATCATTTTAATTGCACTTCAGATATATATTTACTACTCTATGTATGTCTATTGCATGAAATGCCAGTGATGGTTGTAGTTTTAATTTAGCAACATCAAATATTTCAAGCTGAAGATAAAAAAAAAAATGTTCCTAACTTAAACATATAAAAAATATTGTTGCAACAGCACATTTTCTATGCCTCATGCGTTTGATGAGGCAATATTCTCCTTGTCATATACTATAGAAACTCTATGGATCTCTTTCTGGTTGGCATTAGACAGCTCCTCAGGATTCCAGTGACAAGCTTTATTAACTGTCCTCATCTTTACCCTTTGTTAT